ATATAAAGAAAATAGTGAAAGATGCAGGTGTTATGTTCCTAAATTAAGTCTAAAAATGTTAAAAAGTATTTTTTTTAATAAGATAGGAAAACAACTTTATATGAAAAAACATTGTTTTCACCTTACATCTAATTTTGTTCAACATGATAGTTTAATTTCAATTAAAATTAAGTATTAAATAATTAAAAAATGAGCATTACGTGCTATTTTAAAATATAATAAATTTACGCCCATAAAATTAATTTTAAAGTTAATTAACTGTTAGATTTTATATTTGTAAACAAATAATTACGTTTAAAGGTTCCTTAATATTTGTACTGTGATGTTTGTTATTTAAACTATTTGCATACGTATGCAAGTAGGTAAAATAAAGACTTTTATATTAAAACTTATAACAAAAGTAGGTAGGTAGTAGGTAGGTACCGCACAATATTAAATACTGTAGTAATTCTTATAATTTTAAGAAAATATTAAATGATTACGTCAAAAATATGTTTTTTAGTTATTATTGTAAATATCAAAAAAACTGCAAAACTGATAAATAAACTATATTTATTATTATTATTTATAAAAGAATATGAAAATTAAAAAAATTGTAAATGGTTTATTTATTTATTATTAAATATTTTTTATTTAAGAAAACATCGAGCTTAGTTAAACCATTGAGTGAAAGCTTTAAAGCTAAATAAATAAACCATTTACAATTTTTATGATTTTCATATTTTATTTTTTAAATAAATGTTTACAAATCAGTCTTTGCAATATTAATATATTTTTTTAATAGGTTTTTATTTAATTTTTTGCTAGTATATAAATTTTTTTAAACCTATTATTATTTTTTTAATTGCATTATTAGATAATAATTATTTAGTGAAAGATAACATTATAAATACAATTGTTGTTTACATACTTGTTTACTGGTAAACTGTTTGAAGTAGGTGTAGTTTTTTCTGTTTAAACACTCACACTCAATTGAGAAGCTTGATCTCAGCATTTTATGCTTCTAAATAAACAAAGAAACCTCCAATAAACCACATACTTTAATCAATTAATTGAGATGTCGAGACAGCAAATTACCCTAATTAAGAATGTAACTGAGCGTTTTATTATTTAGAATCAACAAAAAATATTTTAATCAATAAAATATTAATTCAAATTTTTTTTATTCGTTTGAAAAAAATAATAAAATAAAAAACATTGTATTTTGTTAAACGGTTTAGTAGTAATAAACTTGAAATTTAAAAGTCAAATTATTTAGTAAAACAAAATATTTTAATTTATCAATATTAATTTTTAATTGGTGACAATGTGCAATTAAAATAAATTTCTTTCTATTGAATATATACCCGCCCATAAATAATATTATATAATATTAAATACAATTTTATTTTTAGTTTTTTCAAAATTATTTATAATTTTATTATTTTATCATTATATGATAAACACATTTAATTTATTTAAATTAAATAAAATTTATAATTTTACAAATAAAATTGTTCTGCAGCTTTTTATAGTAAGTAATGAAATGAAATTAAAATTTTTACCACATCTACATATATTTGATTTATTTAAATGAATTTTATAATTTATATGAATGAAATATTATTGGATAATATTACCCAACATCCTAATAATACCATCGCTATTTTTAAGATAAGATGTTATTAAAACATAACAATTTATCATAAAATAATTTATTATATTTAAATTATTTCATTTATATTTTCTTTTACACTTTATTTATATTAAACACAAGCTATAAATCAAATATATTTGATCTATTTAAATGATTTTTATAAATTATTATTATTATTACGCAATATCCTCTAATGATGTCATTAATATTTTTTATTAATTATTTTTTCAATTTTTATAAATAACAAATTTATTATTAATAAATTAAATGGGCAATTTTTAGGAATATAATATTATAAAAACAAGATTTTATCTCTGTTTTTAACTACTAAACAATTTTAAGAATTTTTAGAGAAAGTATACTTATTATATTTATAACTGTTTTATTGCACCAGAAATTCATTTTTTAAAACACCCCAAGCAATATTGAAAATCTAAATAATAAGGAAACAATATTTTAATTGTATTTTTTTTTTTAATGTTTATAATTAAAATTACTATCCTTAGCATATTTATTTACATTAGAGAAAATTATTTTAATTGTATTTTATCTCTTTAATTCTTTAAACTACCTGGACAATTTAAGAAATGTTGCATCAGTCTGCTAATTAGGTATTTCGACAATGTATGTATTAAAAACTAGGTCATTGGTAAATTAATACTAATTTAATACTTTTATTCAAATAAATATTTTAAAAATCCTCTCGGAAAAATAAAAATTAATTTAGTGTGAGATATTTAAAATTTGCAATTATTTTATAGTTTTATACATACATTACTTTGGGAAATTGTTTTTTTCTTATCAGCGCGCACCGCAAAAGTTTAATAACAATTTTTAAACAGTATTTTTATATTAATTATTTTATACTTTTTATACATTAGTTAAATTTTAAATAATTAATAATTATTTAAATATAGCTTTTATCTCTTTTTATAAATTTTAAATATATCTAATATCCTCTAATGACATCATCATCACATAAGAGTTTCGTGCAAAATTTCATAGGTTACTTATTAGTAAACATCTGTATATGACTCATATTTTATAGCATCTCTAGGCGCCTGTTATCAATTCCGAACGGTAGATCAGCAGGTAGCGCTTCCGACTCTGGTTCAGAGGGGTCTCGGGTTCAATCCCTGAGGGTGGCCGGCTGATAGCGGTCAACTGACGGCGACCGAGCGACCTTGGTGGGGAAAGGTGGATGCCCGCAGGTGTGTGACTTGATATGGGCAAAAAATTGCAGAATGGAGATTTGATTTTCCTATGGGGATTTTAACATGGGAAATGAGCCCGGACTCTTGTCCCTACCCTACTAAAGGGCAAAGATAATGAAATAAATAATATGCTGGAAAGAGACAACGATAGAAAGTAAAGTTTTGGCCACTATACGTCCACGTTATAGTAACGTAATCACAACGTGGTATATACGTGTTTGTATGCAATTCAAGAACTTTGTTGGAACGTAACTGCTACTAAAAAGTTTTCCCCATTTTAGTCGCTTCCACGAATATAACATTTTCTACCACGTGGCAGAGATTTTGGCAATACACTTTACAGTTACAAGTATAAGTGGCCAATACGTTTTAACCACTAAAAATTCTACTTAGGTGTAAGTATTTAAGGCATTTCACGCCAAATTAACCACTTTTGAACTCCACCCCTTACGATTTGGTTGAAATTTTTATACTTTATACTACCGCACTAAAAACGTTTTTATGAATTTTTCAAATTTTTTTACCCTGGGATGAATATCGATGGGAATTGAAATTTTCAAAAACCGACTAATCGAGATGTTTTGTTTCAAATTTATTGTTTATAAACATACTTTAAAAAAATACATTCATGTTCTATAAAATTTTACAGTTTTTCAGAAAAAATATCTTTTAGTTCGCCATCACAGAACATTCGCCATCACAGAACATTCGCCATCACAGAACATTCGCCATTTATTCCTAGACAGCACCTTCTTTATAACCATTAGATATATCCAGGGGATATACTTTCTGTAGAACTGTAAAAAGGAAATTTATTTAGTACTAAACTATAATACTAAATATTTTATAATTTATAAATGTTTTTAATTGTACCCTGATAGCAAACTTTATTCTAAGAATGTTTTTTAAACCTTCCAGTGGGAATATTCTAAGGATCATGCTATATTTCTTCTAAAGAACATGCTTAAAAGAAATATAGCATGATCCTAAGAATATTCTTACTGGCGTTTAGGCAGGTTCTTAGAAGGTGCAAAGTTTTAGTGGTAAAAATTAGTCTACTTTAAACATATTATGCTTAGAATGTTAAGAAAGTAATTGCTATAGAAAGTTCATTTAGGAATATTCCTGTTAAGCATATTTAGTTTAGTTACCTATATAATAGTAAAATATACCATAAACTACGTATAAAGGCCTTAAGGTATATACCTATACTTAAGTACCTAATTAGTAATTAGTATTAAATACTAAGTAAAAAACACAATCCAAGTTATTTGTCAAATTAAAACAATAATTGATAACAAAAATACTTTTACTATAGGTATTATATTTTATGTTAAAAATTAATATTAATTAATTTGTATACCGATTTTTTATTTCTGAATTAACATTTTTATGTATAATAATCCTAACTATCTTAAACTTCAATCTAATCTGACTAATCTCACAAAAATTTCCAATTTTACTTTTTATGAAATAATGTCATAAAACTTATGGTTTAGAGGTTAAATGGTTTATTTAATATTTTTAAATAAATATAATATGTCGCAAAATTAAAGGGAACGACAAATACATTTCGCTGTCATATCAGGACAGTAAGGCGTATTTGTCTCCTGAAGAATTTTACGAATGTAGAATACAACATATTAGAACATGGGTATCTGACATATTTGGAAATATTCTCAAAAGCTTCCTAGAAGCTCCATAAGAAACCTTCTAAGAACATTCCAAAAACGTATTCTTAAAATGTTCTTAGGATGCTTTTTAGGAAGGTTTTAAGAAGCTTTTAAGAATCTAATTGCATCATTAAAAGGGTATCTATTGAATGTTTTAAAAGTTCTAAGAACATTCTTAGCAATAAGGGAAGGTTCTAAGAATATTCCTTATTCCGGGTCATATCTTCTTAAAATTTTATTCTTAAAATCAAATTTTGCTATCATTTATAGAGACAATGAGTCAATCATTTAATTATTTAATACTTATAAGTATTAAATAATTAAATGATTGACTCATTGTCTCTATAAACAATGATTGGCTGTACTAAAGATTTGCTGCTTAAAAAATATTTTATTAAAATGCGTAAAATCACCCTGGTCTTATTTTAGTTCTATTAGGCATAAAAAATATTGTAATAAATATAAATGTTTGTTATAGGAACCTGCAAATGTAAATCCTCCACACATGGTAAGTAATACTATCTACTAAGTATAAAAGACTAAATTATATACTTATCCAATGAAAATACACAAATATTACAACTAATAAAAAGATTTATAAACTTCACAAAAATTGTTATCTAAAGTTAACTAATAAATGAAAAGGACAAGTTTGGTGATACGTTAAACAAATATTAGAAATATTCCCTAACACCAAAACAAAACACAGAGTGCTTAAAAACTTTTCGCCAACGATGTTGGCATCAGAAGCAAAGTGTAACTAAATCTAACAGCTAAATCTACCATATGTATACTAATTATAAGCTAAGGTTGACTGAACCGTAAACAGACACAGTTTACTAAACCGTGGACTGCAACCGCTTCAGTGAACACGTAAATTTAAACTAACAAACTAATTTATACAAACTAGAGTTGGTACCGGTCCGTTATCGTCATTTAAAGATTTATTTCTATTCCTATAGATGTATAAACTTTCCTAACTATCTAGCGGACTTGGTTCCCTAACTTCCTTAATAAGTTTAAGGTTGTCAAATCCTATTCTATGACCATCAAATATGTTGGGCAACACTCGATTTCTCTGTCCTACCAAATCTAGCACGGGCCAAGTGCTCTATGACCCTTACTTGGATGGATCGTTTAGTTTGTCCAACATATTTCTTGTAACAATCTTGACAAGATACATTTTTTCAATTTTTCTGTTTTATTTCCCCCCACATATCCTTTTTAGGTATATAAAATATTACAAAATTAATTAGCTAATTTTATGCTCTTTGAAGTCATTTAATCAAATTTAAAATATTTTTTTTTAATTTAAAAATGGGGTTACAAAATTTATAATCAAAATGATTGATTTTTAATTATTTTTTTATGTTATGTATCAAAATAAATTCAAATACAAAAGAATTTTTTTAAAGCCTTGCAATCTCCTCTATATGTGGAGCAATCAGACAAAAGCATATAAATCCGTTCTAAGCAATTTTGAGTTATCAGCGAAAAACTAAGATTTTTCGTTCTGCAACATTTACACAAAGAACTATGAGGCGCCGTTTGCGTCAAAATAGAAGTGTAGAAAATAAATATAATGTCTTTCACAAAATATACAGAATAGAATGTACCTAACTGAAAATGTATAGAAAACACAAAATAGGCATATAAAATATACGTTGTGGCTCCCGTCCCGAGGCGGGTCTTAACTTCGATCCCGACAGACGTCACACACTGTAAATCCGTTTTTATTCCCCGAGCTTTTATAATTTGTGTCAAGCTGAATGTCTTAGATGGTTGTCCGGTTTGGTGCTCCATGTCTGAGACCAATTACGTTACTCTGCAACGTTTGCAGAACCAGGCCCTCAGACATGTCACCAACTCGGACAGATACACAAGGATCGCCCGCATGCACGATATGACGGGCATCCAATTTATTAAAGATTTCGTTTTTGCCATTTCGAGTAAATTTTTCGAAAATTCCATTCAAAATTCTAACTTAACATCACAAATTACACAAATCAGACACTTAGACAATCACAACATTAGACACGGCCTTATATACAGGAAATTACCTATTTTTCTTCAATAGTCGCGCTTGCCTCTAAATCCAAACCTACTATCCAAAGCGAGGTTTTTTATTAATTTTAATTTTCCTCTTTTATTCATATTTAGGTTTTTTCAAAATTTTTCCTAGACATATTCGGCACTTATAATCTTCTTTTTCCTCTTGTACTATCCCCTCTTTCTTCTTTTTAATATTAGTTAAAATATATCATAACTTTTAAGAAGGTTTTTTCTAATTTGTTTTTCCTTCAAATCACTCACTATTTTATTTAGTCATATCTTCACCTAATCTTCCATTACTTTTTCGAAATTTTTTACTGAGTATCTTCCCCAAAATCGCCTTGCGAGTAAAAGCGGAACAGCACTGAGTAATTTATAATAAACTGGGCCCCTATGCGGTATAAAGTCAAGACAGGGAGGTTAATTACTCAAGTTTTAACCTTCCTGTCACTTCAAAATTTTTCACACTTTATTCATTCCTCCACTTTTACACTTTTTTCATACTTTCCCCTCTCTCGATCATATACCCTTGTCAGGATTACCTCAAAATTACCAAAATTACCAAAATTATTAAATTCTCTAAATTCAAACCCCCTTTGTACCTTTATACCTTTATAGTTAGGCCGTTTACAAAATTTATTATGTATTATTGTTAAATAAATTAATTTGGAATTTGGAATTTGGAATTTTGGTCGCTTGGCATGCGAGAGGTACCGGGTTCGATTCTACTAGAAGTTGTAAACTTTTTTTATTTTTTTTATTTTATAAATTTGTTGTTTCTTTGTTAAAAAGTGTTTTATTTTTATCGTAACATAAATTTGCCCATTTTAGTTGGGTTTTTTGCTCAATGGGGCGGGGGGGCCCAATGGGGTGGGGTCGGTTGGGTTGTGTTGTTGAGTTTGGGTTGGTTTGGTTTTATGACGTAACTAACGTGACTTAACATGTATACAGGTACAATTTATTATTATTATTATTTTATTATAACATAACAAATCTTAAAATTATGACGTCAATCGGGACTGAACTTAAGTCCCGCCTCGGGACGGGAGCCACAGCGTAAAATATAATAAAACATATAAAATTCAACAAAACACCTGTAACAAAACATACGAGGTGTGTTCAGAAAATATCGGGAATTTTCGTTTTTTTTAAACAAATATTTATTTATTCGTCTACATTAATGTTGTCGCCTTTAAAATAGTCCCCATTGGATATTATGCACATGTGCGAGCTCTTCTTCCAATACTCGAAACACTTCTAAAACTCGATCTTTGAGATAGCCTTTAGTTCTTTCAGCGATGCGCTTTTAATGTCATCTATGCTTGCAAAACGACGGCCCTTTACTTTAAGCTTCTCTTTATTTTTGGGAATAGGAAAAAGTCAGACAGAGGCATGTCTGGCGAATATGGAGGCTGGGGCATTATTACAGTATTGTTTTTGGCCAAAAATTTTGTTCAAAATTTAACAATTTTAGAACAAATTTTGCTGCCACGCGTTTCATACCCAAAACATTCGAAAAAATTTCATGGGATGAGCCAATCGATATACCAACATCATCAGCGACTTCTCTGATGGTTTATAACCATTTCTTCCACTTTTTCTATGTTTTTATCGGTTGTTAATGTGCTTGTGCGTTCGGGGCGTTCGTTATCTTCAACGTCTTTACGGCCATCTTGGAAACTCTTATACCACTTGTAAACTCTTGTTGTACTTATAGCAGACTCACTATAGGCCTTTGTTAACATTTCACAGAATTTATTTCATTTTTTAAGCAAAATTGGGTTGGGTTTGGTTTTAACGAACGAAAAATCGCCGAGCTCATAAAACACGTCTAACCTTAGCGGCTGCCACAGACAAAGTAAATAATAAAAACAGCTAAAGTTTTTATCATACTTCGGGGGCATGTATACCAACATAATAAAGAAAATTTTATGACAACCGGACCCTCCAAACAGGCGAAATTTATCAATTCCCGTTATTTTCTGAACACACCTCGTATGTATGTACAAAATTTTATCAGTCTTCCGAATCGGATGAAAAAGAACAAAGTCTTTGTGGGCCTTTACAAAAATATACAAACTTTGTTTAATAAATTGCAGGGCCCAGTTTCTGGATTCATCTACGAACAGCGTTTATTCTCCCTACTAGCACTACGATGTGCATTGGATACGAACATTAAGAATTTTAAAATTGGATCGAACCTAAAAAATTTTGGAAGTTTAGATGACATCATAATGGAAGTGGAATATAACGATGGAGAACAAAAAATGTTTCTTTGTCAGCTTAAATATCATACAGGAAGCAAAAATCTTAGTTTAAATTTAAACAAATATATTAGGGATTATAACTGTATTCAAAAAAACTATGAAAATGTTAAAATAAACGTAATTATACATACAAGCGCAAAGAAGGATTGTATATCGCAGCATAAAGCTCTAATTGAGATGGATAATTTTAATTCTAATCTTAAAATATTTGAAACCAACAAGAACGGGTATATTCATAAATACACCACAAAAGGTTTAAATATAAATGATAAATCAATTACTGCAAATATGGTAGATAATTTTATAAACAATTGCTTCGTGTTTTCAAGTCAAAACAATATTGACGAACTATTAAGAATTGTAAATGAAGAGTTTAAAAAAAATGTTAAGGTTGAACAATTTCAGCTAATATTGAATTATTTCGATACGGTATACCTTAAAAGGAATGAATTCATATCAAAAGAAGAAATTGAATGGATGTTAAAAGTTAAAATTTTGTATCCTTTTGTGGACCATGTTCTTCAAAATGTTTATGTTAATGATAATAATTGTGTAGAAAACGACAATGTAATAATAGAAACATTAAATTTATTTCATGTTTCCACATTGTCTAATGAATCGATGAGTACAATTTTAAGAATTATAACTATAATTCTCGAAACTCGTTTTGATATAAATAATTTAAAGAAAGAACTTTGGCTTGAAATATTACCGGAAAATCTTAAGATTGATGAAGAACCCTATTTTCAAACTTTAAAATATATTAAGAATAATGAATTATTATCATACAAGGACCTACTTATTCTTTTATGGATGAACAAAGACATACCTCTTCCACTAATTTATACCGAGGAAAACAAACGACAAATCAATTTTGTATTAGAAAATTTTTCGAACAACTTCTCTGTAGTATTGCTAAATAAAACAGAGTTTAATGTTTCCCTGGAAAATTTTAATATCTTCACCAACTTTAATGATATTCACAATAAGGACCTCAAAGAAAAGAATTTGGATCTAGTAAGGATTAAACTTCACCCTGAAGAATCAATTACCTTGAAAGAGTTAAACTTTGCAGATGGAATAACTTCTGACATATATGTAAAGCTTTGTTCCGGAGCAGAAAATGATTTTAAGTTGAGCAACAAGTTACCTTTTTATATCACAAGAACTTTAAAACCTTTGGTGTTTAACGAAAACATTTTTATGAACGATGATTTTCTATTTGTTGTCCATGGAGATGAGAAAAAAGACCATCATCAAATTCAACTCGAAGATATATTTAAAAAAATTGTGGAGAAACTTGAGTTCAAAGATTTAACCTTTCGAATGCCAAGTTTATCTTCAATTCAAAGTGAACACCCGAAAAAAATCTCGAAACTTTCTGATTTTTTAAAAGAATATTCTAAAGATGGCAAAATCAAGAATACCACAGTTTATTCCAAGTCATCCTTATGGAAAACACAAAATAAGCTAAAGAAGACATTTCAGGGTTCATATTGCTGTCTTGTAGAATTTCACGAACATTTTTTATGTTACGCCTATAATGGTTCTATAGAAAAATTAAGTGATTTTATGGTTAATATGAGTATTGACGAAAGAGAACTATTAGAATTGGGCCTTCCTATAAATATAATTTATGGAAATGCTGGAATAGGAAAGTCTTTCATGCTCCGTAACGTGGAAAATATTCTTTCAAAAGAGTATTGGGTAGTAAATTTGACAAATAACAATATTTTTGATGATACAATTTTAAGCGACAAAAACATGTTTATTAATTATTTATTAATTCACCAAGTGGGTGAGAAAGTTTTTAATGCGTTTAAGCAATTTTTAATTAAGTTATTTATAAACCGAATAAAAAATAAAAAAGTTTGTATTACTATAGATGCTTTTGATGAAATGAACTTAGGAAGTAAAGTTTTAGAAACAATATCCAATCTATTACAAGTTCCAGTTATAATTTCGACGAGACCAACAATGAAAAACAATTTAGAGAATGAGCTGTGCGTACCATCTTTCAAAATAAACAAATTTTCAAGAAAAAACCAAATAGATTTTTTACAACAGTCAGCCTCTTTATCTCCGGAATACAAAAATGGTGTAATTAACGAATTAAAAATAGAAAATAGTTTTTTTGGTGTTCCTTTACTACTAAAGTTATTAGTGGAAATTTTGCCAGATGTAAATGAAATTAAAAACATGAATTTAATTGTTTTATATGAGAAATATTTAACAAAAAGCATAAAACATTATAGAAATGCCGATAGAAGAACAATTAAGTCTTTGGCATTTAGACTATTCTTTAAGAAGCATTTTAGTAATTTTTTAAACGAAACACTATTTAAAGAAGATGTCGAAGACTTTCAGAGGACGATTAAGGAAACAAAAAATAACATAATAGGAGGACTTTATAATGAAAATGAACCAATATTCGTTCATCGAACTTTTGCAGAATTTTTATGTGCTCAGTATTTAACTGAAATATGCATGGAGAACAAATTTCAAAATATTTTTGAAGAATTGTTTAAGGAGAGAAAGTTGAACCAGATCAAATATTTCTTTGATTTAATCACCTGTCAAGACTTACCTTTGCATTTTGCTGCCCTAAGAAACGACTGTAAAAAACTAGCACAAATGCACAATTTATTTGAGAAGGATATGTTGGGTAGGACTGTCCTTCATATCATAGCCACTTACGGATGTTATGATGATGTTATATTTAATCCTAATAATCACTTGATGGAGATATCTTGTAAAAATAAAATTAATCCATTCGTAGAAGCCAACAACATAATAGACACAATCTTAAAAAAATCTGATGTAAAGGATATCATTGCCCTCAAAGATAAATTTAACAATAATGTCATCAACTGCATTTTGTTATCGGAATCATTGGATATTTTAAATAAGATTTGTACGTATACAGAAATTAATTTAAACAAAGTAAATCGCGATGATTTTCTTTTAAAAATAATATCCTTTGATTACCACACAATATTTGAATTGTTGATAAATGAACCAAAAATTAGGACTAACATACTGGGCAGTAATTTAAATGTCAACGGCCGAATAATTAACCCCTTACACAAAAGTTTAAAAATCGCAGAACTTTTAATTATAAATGGTATAAATATCGGTGAACAAAATATGTATGGTGTCACAGCTTTAATTATAGCAGCTGTAAACAATGATACAGATGCTATAAAGTTATTAGTTTTGCAAGGTGCAGACGTAAACGCACAGGATGCAAAGAATAAAAATAGTACGCCTTTGCATTTTGTAACTCACCATGGAAATTTGGAAAGTGCCAAGGTTTTGCTTAGTAAAGGTGCAAATATAAATGCCCAACAAAACAATGGAGATTCGCCTTTAATGATAGCGGCTTACACAGATCATAGAAAAACGTGGAAATTAGTAAATAAGAAAGCACAAAAAAATTTTCAAAAACCTCGAGGTTACTCAACTCTTTATTTTGTAGCTTACAAAGATAAAGGAAATAATAAAATAGCCGAAGTAATACCAAGTAAAGGGGAAGATGCGCAAAAAAACGATGATGATTTAATTTTGACGTCTAAAAATGATGAAACAGATATATAATTTTTTTGTGCTTTCTTATTTACTAATTTCCACGTTTTTCTATGATCTGTGTAAGCCGCTATATATGGTGGAATTTTTAGTGGATCAGGGTGCAGAGGTAAATTTACGAAATAACCAAAATAACTCAGCTCTTCATTTATCAGCTTATAAAGGAAATATCAGAATTGCGGGAGTTTTACTAAGTAAAGGTGTTGATATTAATGCACAAACCAACGATGGAGATTCGCCTTTAATGTTGGCGACTGGCAATGATCATACAAAGATGGTGGAATTTTTAGTACATCAGGGTGCACATGTAAATCTACGAAATAACAAATGTCACTCGGCTCTTCATATAGCATCTGATAAAGGAAATATTAAAATTGTAGAATGTCTAATAAGTAAAGGTGCCGATATTAATGCAAAAACAAACAATGGAGATTCGCCTTTATTTTTGGCGGCTAGAAATGATCATACAGAAATTGTAAAATTTCTAGTTGATCAGTGCAGTGCAGATGTAAATATACGAAATAACCATGATATCTCAGCTCTTCATTTTGCAGCCGATAAAGGAAATATTGAAATTGCTGAAGTTCTACTTAGTAAAGGGTCAAATATAAATGCACCAGGCGTGAAAGGAGAGACGCCTTTACTTATTGCATTTTTAAACAACCGGGTGGAAATGGTTGAATTTCTATTATCTAAAGGAGCAAAAAAACTAATAAACACGCTTTAGAAATTATATAAAAAATGTATTTTATTTTAAATTCTTTGTTACGATATTAGGTCCAGTCAAAGCGATATTTGAAAAGCTTTTACAAAGATATACGCAAAAATATTTTTTTTTAGTTTTTAGCGAATCCCCGTATATTGCACAATAAAAAGTAAAAGCAATTTTTTATAAAATTTCCAACAATTTTTTTCTGAGGTAATTTTTGTTTAAACAAATAAGTAAAAAAATACAGTTAGTTAAAATGAAAAATTTGTTTTTATCTTAAAAAAATAGAGCTCGGCGATGACCTACCCAGGCAACACAGGGTCGTAGAAATCACGTAGAATCGTCGACGAATTGGGTCGAATTTGGTCGAAGTTACATTTCAACCATTTTTCGACGTCTCAAAATTCACCAAAACACGACCAATTATTAACTCGGTCGATGATAACCAATAAATGACGTCGATGATAACCAATAAATGACGTCATTATCACGTGAACAGATGACGAAATTTTTAAGAAAATATGAAAATATAGTGATAATTAATAAGAAACAGTTGGCCCGTTTTAATGGGCCGACAAAAAGTTTTCGAATATTTTTAAAAACAAAAATTATTATTTTTATTTAATTTACGTTATTTAGACGGAGAATCAACGTGCAATATTTTATTAAAATAATTTTAAACATTATTTGGTTTTAAACTAATTAAGATAGGTACGTAGATTAATAATTATTGATCAATGGATTTTTTAATACAAATTCGCGATTTTTAAATCCTTTATCATTTTATCACAAAATAAGAAATTAACATGTTACTGCAGTTGAAAATCACAATTTTAATTTTAGTAAAATTATTTATCTACAGTGTTGCCAGATGTTTTATAATTTTCTTTTTTAAAATAGTAAAATTTAAATAATAATCGATAATTGTAACATAATTTAATCCGCCGCGTAGTTTTGCTTGTTTTTATACAATTTTTTTTGATAATTTTATATAATTTTCTGTAAATTTGATCATTTTGTCAACCCTCTTCGATAATATTAATTTTTACACCTGGCAACCCTGTTTCTCTTTGGCCTTGGGTAAGTTGGCACTACTTACAAAGCGAGAGAACGTTTATTCCTAAAAAACAATATGGTTGATTCAAGCGTCCAACTTTTATAATCTGTGGCATTTATACATAGAACAAACCATTTATACTGATAATACTTTGGCTGTGTCAGGTCAGGTCAATTTTTGTTTGTTTATTAATGTTTTAATTACTCAGTATATTCCGTAACGAAGTCATAACACCTAAATGAAGTACCTACATAAGCTCCTAAAATATTGACCTGTCATCTGTCTTAAAATTTAATGTGTTTGATTTTATAATAAATGTTTTGAGCAACTTAAAACATGTTTTTTTAATTATTAAACCAAAAGCCCTTTATGCACTAGTTAAAATAATTATTTATTCTTATATCCGATATTTTAATGCCAGACATATGTATGTGTTTCTGCAAAGATTAACTAACAAATTTTTTTTGATATTCTACTTTTTCACATACATTTATTTTGATTATTAATTATTTACTAAATATATATCTACTATAGTAGTATATATATACTATATATAGTAGGGTTTACCTATTTATTTCTTAAAATTTAAAAGTACAACTAAAAATTTTTTGTTTTTTTAATTTTGACAAAATCACATTTCGCATTGAAATATCTGATATCAGTATCGGTAATTATTTTTATCAGTGTATGACCTAATCATATATTATTCAAGAAATATTACGTGATTATTTAAATTAAATTACGTAAATAATTACGTAATATTACGTGATTTTACACGTGAAATCGCTGTGACATATTGTCGTCAATTTTACGACGATAAGACGTGTCTAAGTTGGTGACTTCGACGTCACCGTAGACGTAAATTAAACGTGATATTCACGTCACTGTGTTGCCTGGGTAGTAGGCAAGAGAGGATTAAACGCTACACACCAAACAGGAAGACTAAAAATTTCAATATATATTTTTTTAAATTAAACCTGCGATAACTCCTTAAGTAAATTTCAGATTTTTAAGAAATTTTGACAGACAAATCACCTTAATACAGGAATCCCAGGCAACACAGTGACGTGAATATCACGTTTAATTTACGTCTACGGTGACGTCGAAGTCACCAACTTAGACACGTCTTATTGTCGTAAAATTGACGACAATATGTCACAGCGATTTCACGTGTAAAATCACGTAATATTACGTAATTATTTACGTAATTTGACGTGAATAATCACGTAATATTTCTTGAATAATATATGATTAGGTCATAGTATGACCGTCATACACTGATAAAAATAATTACCGATACTGATATCAGATATTTCAATGCGAAATGTGATTTTGTCAAAATTAAAAAAACAAAAAAATTTTAGTTGTACTTTTAAATTTTAAGAAATAAATAGGTAAACCCTACTATATATAGTATATATATACTACTATAGTAGATATATATTTAGTAAATAATTAATAATCAAAATAAATGTATGTAAAAAAGTAGAATATCAAAAAAAAAAATTGTTAGTTAATCTTTGCAGAAACACATACCTACATATGTCTGGCATATATCTGGCATTAAAATATCGGATATAAGAATAAACAATTATTTTTACTAGTGCATAAAGGGCTTTTGGTTTAATAATTAATAAAACATGTTTTAAGTTGCTTAAAACATTTATTATAAAATCAAACACATTAAATTTTAAGACAGATGACTAAGGTCAATATTTTAGGAGCTTATGTAGGTACTTCATTTAGGTGTTATGACTTCGTTACGGAATATACTGAGTAATTAAAACATTAAAAAACAAACAAAAATTGACCTACCTGACACAGCCAAGTATTATCAGTATAAATGGTTTGTTCTATGTATAAATGCCACAGATTATAAAAGTTGGACGCTTGAATCCATAGATAAGGGATTGGTTGAATGGGCGGGGGGTTAGTATTAAATTTTTGTTTCGTGACTACTGCGCCATCTAGCGGGTGTAGTCAAAAATATATATTAAAATTATTGTTTAAATTTTTTTACTGGATGGTACTGATCCTTTTTTTAGCTCCACTAGATAAATAATTCTAATATTTTTCTAGGAAAGTTCAAAGAGTAATAATAAAACATAATAAAACTACATTTTTGTAATTATTTAATTTGTCAAAGTTACAAAATATATAAAAACAAAAATTCAAAACACAACTTAAAATCATATCTACATCATATGAATTTATCTAACTATTTCATTCCTATTCCTATAATATTATTCTATAAGGTAAAATAAATTTATAAATAAAAGAACAACAAAAATTTTAATACTTGGGGCTTAGAGAATCAACATATTTTTTGTTATTTGGGCAAAAAGCGGGACATACCTTATCGTTTTTTGGAAATCGATGCATTTTTAAACTATCTCCCCTGCTTTTGCACTTTCGTACACAACAAGAATAAACCATAATAATGAATACACAATACAAACTTAAAAGGTTATAAATACTTCACAAATTTAAGTTATTCTTTCAAGTCAAATTATTATGACAACTGTCATTATGACAACGGTAGTCTCGGTGACAAAAACAATTTTGGCGACATTAGCGCCTCTGGCAAGCATAGTCTAAACTTCTCAGCGGACAAGTTTTTGTACAGTAAAGATGCACAACCATGCTTGAATCAACCATATTGTTTTTTAGGAATAAACCACAATCCACAGTGTGGATTCCACACATTGTGTGGATTGTGGAATAAACGTTCCCTCGCTTTGTAAGTAGTGCCAACTTACCCAAGGCCAAAGAGAAACAGGGTTGCCAGGTGTAAAAATTAATATTATCGAAGAGGGTTGACAAAATGATCAAATTTTCAGAAATTTATATAAAATTATACAAAAATTGCATAAAAACAAGCAAAACTACGCGGCGGATTAAATTATGTTACAATTATCGATTATTATTTAAATTTTACTATTTTAAAAAAGAAAATTATAAAACATCTGGCAACACTGTAGATAAATAATTTTACTAAAATTAAAATTGTGATTGCCAACTGCAGTAACATGTTAATTTCTTATTTTGTGATAAAATGATAAAGGATTTAAAAATCGCGAATTTGTTTTAAAAAATCCATTGATCAATAATTATTGATCTATCTTAATTAGTTTAAAACCAAATAATGTTTAAAATTATTTTAATAAAATATTGCACGTTGATTCTCCGTCGAAATAACGTAAATTAAATAAAAATAATAATTTTTGTTTTTAAAAATATTCCAAAACTTTTTGTCGGCCTATTAAAACGGGCCAACTGTTTCTTATTAATTATCACTATATTTTGATATTTTCTTAAAAATGTCTTTATCTGTTCACGTGATAATGACGTCATTTATTGGTTATCATCGACCTAAGTTAATAATTGGTCGTGCTTTGGTGAATTTTGAGACGTCGAAAAATGGTTGAAATGTAACTTCGACCAAATTCGACCCAATTCGTCGACGATTCTACGTGAGTTCTACGACCCTGTGTTGCCTGGGAATGCTACCAAAATAAAAAAAAAATAAAAATTTTAACCATGGTAGCACAAAGATATTGGCCCAATATTCGTTTGATGATATTGGGCCAAAATATCTTTCGTCAGATTTTTTCTATCATGGTCCAATATTGAAACCCATCAAGTTGTTTGTTTTTGGGTTATGTAGATCTTGAAGAAATCCTCTGCACTCAAACTTACTCGATTTATTTAGCCATTATTTGTTACTTAGCAGATCAGCCCCACTCCAATCATTGTTTAGCTGTGTCATCACAGACGCACATCTCCAACTGATATTTTTACCCTATCGGTATATATAGTCATCAAGCGTGCGTAAGCAGCGGTGAGATGTATAGCAACCATATTTGTTTAGCTTTAGCTTTTAGAATTTTGTGTAGCAGTTATATTTAATATTGGCCATTTTACCTATTAATTAAGTAAATAAAATTAATATTTTAACTAA